CTTTTTTTTTTTTTTAAATTTTTTTTTAGCTGTTCTAGAGGGATGTAGGAACTTTTGTGTAGAAAGGAGCCTTGTGCTACTTTGTGCAGGCAAGAATTCCAGTTTCACATCTGGATTATCTCTAGTCCACACACTGACACTGCCCTGCACAGACCAGYGAGTTCATCCTGTACCCAGTCCTGCAAATCAAAATCTAAAGCTTTTATTGAAACCCGTAATTGATACCTACATCTGTATTAGCACGTAATTGTTTAGAGCTATTTGAAATCATTATCTGGAGGCAGCTGAATTGTTTTTGCAATTATTGACCTGACTTTCATTCCTCATGCTCGGTTTAGGAGTGCAGGTTGAGAAGAGCACCCATCCTCCTCCATCATCTCTTTGGTCTCACTCCATTTGTCCCTATCCAGAGCCTTTTCACAGCTATTTTACAGCTCTGGAAAAGTGGAGAAAATGTTTTTTTAATGTACCATGAAACGTTTTGTAATTTCTCAGTGTCTGCCAGCCAGCAATATTTTTTCAAGCCCTTAAGTTTCCTTTGACATGTGGGAACTCATCCAGAAGTTTTTGGTTTTGTTTTGTTTTAAGTTGGAGCACAGCAGCAGGTGAAGAACTTCTGCTGTAGTTACAGCCTTAGAAATTGGTRTCTTGCTTTAAGAATATCTTTTCAATGGACGCAAGGTCAAACTCCCGAGAGGAGTCTGGTAGAGCCCCTTGGTATCCAGTTACTGGGGGAAGCTGGTCTCGCTGGGTTGAAGCCGGATGGGGTTATCCAGGATACCCAGCACAGCTCCTGCCCGGGTATGGGCTGGAGGCCCGCGGCTCGAAGCCTGTCCTCGACCCAGAGCTCGGGCTCATTTCACTGCGGTGCCCTCAGGAGTTTTCCCCGGAGCCGTGAGGAAGCCCAGGGAGCGCTCCGCCCCGGCCCCTCMGGGGCCCTGCCCAGGCCCCGCCCCCGCCCCGTCCCGCCCAATCAGGAGCCGCGGGGCGGGCAAAGGGAAGAGTTTCCCGAACTGCCTCGCGCCGCCGTGACAAGGCGTCCCGGGAGAGCTCTCTACCAATGGGCGACCGCCTTACAAAGCTCCTTAGGGYGGCTGGAGAGAGCCGCTCGCTGATTGGTCCTGGTGCCGTCAGTGTTTCCGGCCATGCTGCGCCCGGCGCGATTGCATCATGGCGGGACGGAGGTGAGCGTGGGGGGGCAGCGCTCGGGCCGGACYCTCGGCCCCCTCACGGCCCCCTCACGGCCCCGACGGCCGGCGCGGCCTCAGGGGGCGGCGGGCGGCTCCGAGACTCGGGGGCGGGGCGCTTGGTGCGGGCGCCGGGCGGCATCTTTAGGGTGTCCCAAAAAAGCTGCGGCTCGTGGCCCGGCAGGTTCCTGTGCTGTCGCCGCGGTAGCGGGGTCCGCCTGGACTGGCAGCTCCCCTGCGGGGTTTGACGTTATTAGCGCCTTTGCAGAGCTCGTGTTTTGTGTGTACACCGTCACGTACGTGTGTGTTTCCCTCCTTGGGTGCTGTACAGATTCTTTGCTTTCTCTGGAATTTAGGGGTGACTTGTAGCAGGTACTTACTGAATATTAACCAGCTGCCTTATTGCAGGATTTATTACTTAGCAAGCCTTGGTTTCATTAATTATCTGTAAAAAGAACTTAAGGTCCGTTACAACGTGAAGCATGTCTTAAGCTTTCCCTTCAGCATCCTTTTAATAGAGGAAGGGTTTGATGAATGCACCCTTTTTATTGCTGCAGCTGTGATGACTTTGCTATCTCCAGCAAACATTAGCTCCCACACCCCGGGAGCCTTTTGGAAACTGCAGAAAGCATTTTTATTCGGTTTGGTGRTGACATGCTTAGAAAGCAGCTGTCAGGTAATAGAATTTAGTTGTCACATAAAAGTAGTGTTCAGTAACTCATCTGACACTGGTTTCTGAGGTTCTTTTTTYGTAATACATAATTCAAAGTTATTTCAAGATAACCTAGATTCCTTTTTCCCCCACAATGATATGTTACATTTTTAATCAAGGTGTTACAATGATGACAGAAATTTCATAAGACATCACAAGATGCAGTGTAAAACTGGGCTCCTGGATAGCATGAAACGTTTGTGTCTAAATGGAGTATTAACTGATGTGTGTGCTTGTTGGTTTAGCAGTGTTTTAATTGGYTTTTCAGCATTAAAGGAAACCCTCCTTGCCGGGATACAGGTGGGTTAGTGTTGCAGTTTTATTCCCTGTATAAAGCACAAACACAGATTTTCAGGAGGAGCATTTGTTCCACTGCTTAATATTTTATTCCCATCTGTCCCTCTTTTTCTTTTAATCTTGCTTGTTTCTACCCCATCTACAAGTGGAGAATTTTGTTTTTCAGGTGAACAATTTAGACTGATGTTAGCCCAGAACAGTATCTAAAATGAAATGGGTGCCAGGTGTGTTTGGAAAAGAGAGCATTGTTTAAGTTTGGAGTAGGTAGAGAACAGAAGCTCCTCCTTGTCTTTGGAGGGAAGTTTGGGCTCTTATGTAGAATAGTTTGTGGGAGACTGATTATAAGTCCCTGGAGATCAGGAGACCTTTTGTACACCTTTAGTTTAGTCTGTTTCTTTATATTTGCAGTTTCTCAATCAACAAAATGAATAATGTCTTGAAATCCACTTGGTTTTAATCATGTATCTGATGCATGTGAAGTACATCAACAGTTATCAAATATGGGCTTGCTTCATTCAGAGKGGTGTTTTAATTGAATTTGTGTTGATTTAAAAAAATAAATCTTAATATTTTAAAAAATATTCGAACTTGCTTTTATGGTTTTAATGTCTGTTTCCTTTTTTCCTTCCAGATAAGAAGCCCAGCATAGGTCTCAGACTGCTGTAGTACAATCTCCAAACTTTGACACCTTTCCTAGTGAATGTTGTTATCCTCTAGAAAAGTGAGTGTGCTTAATAAAAACTTGCTCAGTGGTTCATTGTCTTAAATTTTAACACTTTTTGAAATACAAAATAAATGAAGAGCCCTCCTTGTGTTTAGTGATCTCTTTAAATAYTGAGTGTTGTCCAAAAATGTGGTTTTATTAGCTGTGTTTGTATAATTTMTGTAACATGGTTTGTGATGTTTTTGCTCACTYTGTGTTCAAAGTAAAGAGTTGTCCTTGATTGTTTTCTGATTTAAAATACCTAGATTGCTTATAATGAAGTTTTTTTTGTGCTGTAGAGATATTCATGCCTCTTTCTAGAAACTGATTGTTAGATCTTAACTTTTATGTTTAGTTGAGGTTTAGCCATGGTGAGATTTTTCAATGTGCTTTTTTCAGTCAGTCTGTTTAAAATTCTGGTTTGTAACTTGGGGTGAAAAAAAGGTAGTGATGTTTGTATGTTAATTCTCAAGAGCATTTTYCCCCCTGATTCTGATGCAATAAACTTCTGATATTGCTGAGCGTGTGTATGGATTTGTGCCCTGTGGTTACTGGACACTGCCTGCTCCATGCAGTGCTTCAGTTGGTAAAACGGGCCCACAGTGACTCTGTGATTTACGCAGGGAGTCTGTGATCCGTGAGCAGCCTCCACAGCCCGGTCACAGGCACACCCCAAACCTCCAGCCCGCCTGCAATCTGTTCAATTGCACAGACCTGACAGCTGGGCCAGTCTCCAACCCTTTGCAGTTACCACTAAGTTGGGAGGGCTGAGCTTGAGCTGAGCAAAACATGCAGATCTTTACTCCTCAGCCAGCTGRCTTTTGGGAGATAAAAGCTTTAAGGCTGAATTATTTTATCATTGCCATTGTCTCTGTGATGAAATCACTGAAAAATGACAAAGCCTAAGCAGTGCTTTGTGGGGTGCTTTGAGATGGAATGGTGAAAACTCTCCTACAAGTTGTGTRTAGAGTAACTGACTGTGCTAATTATTGCCTTTCTGAAATACATCCAGGCCATGTCCATGTGTTCCTTGTCAGCTCACGATTTCCTCTCCAAATGCTGTGTTGCCTGTGCACCAGGTTGTGGCATTCTGAATAATAATATGATAATGATAAAGGATAAATTTGATTTACTAGTGGAAAGAGTAATCTCTCATGARTACAGGAAGTATGAGTGGTGGAATTGATCTGTAGTGCATTTTTGCATAGGGGTTCAAGCATTGAGCTGGCAATTTCTGTGATGTTCTGGGTTCCATTTAAGTAAATGTTTTGGAACATAGCTGTAGTTGAAAGAATTGTCTTCATGCATTTGTCTTTGTTGCTGCATTCTAGTTAGTATTTRCAAACCTGGGTAAGTTAGAAGACTCAGGCCTTGTGCCATTGCTTGTAATTCTGTAATGCTGAGTGAAGCTCGAGGCTGTAGCAGCTACTTCTGGTGCTCAGGAGMAGCAGCACTAAAGTGAAAGATGGGACAACCCTTTTATTCTGTGCCATCATCTACTACAACCTTCATAACCAGTTTTCTCCTGTTACAGAGCTTCTGTCTTAAACACTCTTAATTCCCCAGAGCTTTTGCTTAGTGTTTGCCTCAGGTATTTTATTGAAATCTGACCCCTTTCTATCTCATAGCAGATCTGGAACCAGGCAACTCTGTTTTGTGCTCCTAATCATGTTGAGAATTCCTTTTCCCTGTGTTGTTTGTACAGCAAGGAAGGAGCCCATTGTGGCTCAGTTTTAATGTCCTTATAAAACACTTGTTCATCTCTGCAGTGTTTTTCAACTGTGCATTCTGCAGTCTGGCTGCTTTTAGGGGCATCTGAGAATGGTGGCAGCTTGATGGAAAATGCTCTTTTAAACCTCTAAAGGGTGTGAATAAATGGACAGTGAAAAGGAGTCCCTTCTTCAGTAGTTACAGGTTCTGCACTTTCAGTGAAACTCACTGGTTTAGACTGGTTTTGAAGGGTCAGTTTGAACTCRGAAACTCTTCTGAAAGAAAAAAACCCAAACCTGTAACCAAAAAAATAATTTGGCCTTTGGCTGTGTTCTGTAGGAAACAGAAATAAAAACACAATGAGAAATGGAATAATTGTAGTTGAATGAATGGAGARTCCTTTTCCTGTTCCAGAACTTTGGTGCTAGTCAGTCAAAATTAGGCTTTTTTTTAAATAGAGTGCTTGCTTCCATGCCTGCACTGAATCAAGCTCTTTGTAAAATTGAGCTTTGAATTGGGGATATGGATTTGTRGAATACAAGTTGTATTTGTGGAGTTGTTTTTTTTTCCTCACTTCTGTTCAATATGTATTTTTCTCTTCTTGGTCCCTGTTGGGAAAGAATGGTTCAACAAGTTCCAGAAAACATAAATTTTCCAAATGAGGAAGAGAAGATATTGAAGCTCTGGAAAGATCTTAATTGTTTCAAGGAATGCCTAAAGCAGTCAAAGAACAGACCTAGGTAAGAATCTGTTAAAAGCTGTAGCAACTGTGTGTGCTAGCAGGGTTGGTTTGGCTGTAAGTACTCTTTGTTTTTCCTTGGTTCTGTAAACAGCAGCTGCTCCCTKTGCCAGCAGCAGTCCTGGCTCATGCTGCTGTCCTGTCAGTGCCTTTTATATTTCAAYTGGTGAAGAATCAGCAGTGTTCAAACAGTAGCAATAAACCTGTAATTTCCTCCTTGGTGGGTTTGTAAGAGAAATGGGGAGRTAAGTAAAGAACTCTTTGCTGTGTGTGCCAGCTGTGGAGCACTGTGCTGGGGTGTTCTGTAGGAATTCTGGTAGAACTGGCAGTGGTGGGAGCTGCACAAGTTGCCAYGTTCTCTTTAGCCCCACTGCCAGCGTGGCACCTGTGCTGACTGSTCATGGAACAGGAAGACATGGATATTTTCCTAGTAAAACATGAGTAGTATAAGCATGCAGCCTGAGTCACCCTGCCTGAAGACTTGCTGCTCAGTTTTTGCTTTAATGAGAAATGTTTTGTGTTGTAGGTTTAACTTCTACGATGGTCCCCCGTTTGCCACTGGGCTCCCCCACTATGGCCATATCCTTGCAGGAACCATCAAAGACATAGTAACCAGATTTGCTCATCAGAGTGGTTTCCATGTTGACAGAAGGTTTGGCTGGGATTGCCATGGCTTACCTGTGGTATGTGTCTTGAATTTACCTACAGATATTTCTGTTGGTTCCTCTTTCCCTGTGGTTACCCRCTTATCAATCATGTTTCTGTTGCCTGTATACCTGGCATTGTTGCTAAAGGAGAAATGGAAGTTCTTTGTCCAGTGTGTTGCTCTGGCTTTCGTGTGTGGTGAGTTCAGGAGGTTCCTACTGGTCATCTATACTGTGTTCATTGCTATAAACCTGTATTTATTTGGTGCATATTTCAGAAAATGGGTTTTTGTTTATTTTTCTAACACTAAAGAAACAGACACACCAGGGCGAGCCTTTGAAATCCCTGCCTAGCTCAGRTGTGGCTCCCATGAAATCTCAAATGGTTAAAGGAGGCCCCTGAGCCTCATTACAATGCATAGGACATAAATAAACTATCCAGGGAAATCCTGAAAGCTTTTGATAACAGGATGTTTTGTTTGGTTGTTTTCCATGCTCCCAGGAATACGAGATTGACAAGACTTTAGGCATTAAAGGGCCAGAGGACGTGGCAAAGATGGGCATTGAAGCTTACAACAAAGAGTGCAGAGGGATTGTGATGAGATATGCCAAAGAGTGGGAGGTAAGTGAAGGCTCRGTCCATGTTCTGCTGAGCATTTCTAAATGTATTTATGCAGAAGTGTTTCAGGCRGGGTGAAGTTCATCCTTTTGTCTGATTATATGCATAAATCCCATGTCTTTAAGCTACTGTATTTGTACCCTGTGATCCTGAAAGGGGAACAAAAAGAGCACCATTATGRCTCAGAACAGAGACTGCTGTGCTGTCAAGAGGAGGTTACTTGCAGGTTACCTGGAGCTCAAAGTGTCTAATGAGATACAGTGAACAAATAATAGACATGTTGAGCRTTGTCTCTTTGTGTCTTGTACAGAAAATTGTAAGATCTATCTTTGGTTTTCAAATGGAGCCATTAAAGAAAATTCACGTTAACCTCRCTGCTTTTCTGCTCCTCCTTTCCCCCAGGCTTTTCACTGCCAGAGTGCAGGGCAGTAGATTGTATTTTTGGCAGAACAGAAATTCTCACATCTGCTTTTGTCATAAGAGGTGTTGGTAAACCCTCAGTCTTCCCAGAGAAYATTGGTGTCAGCTTTGCATCCCATGAATACAGGGAGAGTATTGGTGTGTGCAGGGTTTTGAGGCTGGAGAGCTGTTCCAAGTAGGTGGGTTAGATATTTTCTTAAGATGCACACTTGCATTTTTTTTTAACTCTGAATAACACTAATCCTGTGCATAGAACCTGATGCTCCTTATTTTGTCCTTAGTAGTGTGGCCAGAGCAAAGTGCATTTACCCCAGTTCTGCTGGTGTGAAGTGTCTGTGAAGTGCTGACTTTTGGAGCTGTGGAGTGCCCAGGTGCTTTCCTGGCTGTGCCTCTATGTGACAGTGCCAGATGTAACAGCAAGTGCCAAATGAAGAATGCAAGAACAGGCTGTGTTTTTTCAGCCTTTGTGGCACAAGGCCTTGCTAGGCTGAAGGATTTTTACTTGTCCCTCCTAGTTTATAATCCCTGACATTTTTCCCCTCATCTGTTTATTTATTGAGTCTGGGTATGCTGATGSCSTGAGGAGTCTTGTCTCAAGTAGTTTCTCTGTGYAGTTTGAAGAATGGTAGCTCTATGAGATGATTTCCAATAAAGCTTTATCTTAACTATCATTTTTTTCCTGAGGCAGAACAGTCCTAATTATTTTAACCTTTCCTCATGGAGAAGCTTCTTCTCCATTTGCACTCCTCTGCATGACCTCTAGTCCTGCTGTATTTCTTTTMATGGAAATGGCAATTTCTTATTTGAGTATCACTTATCTTTTGTGCTTGGGTATGTTTTGAAGTTATGTCCAGTGTCTGAAGAAACCAGAGCTGCCTTTGGTAGARTAGCTGTGGCCTAAACCTCAGTGAGCGACTGGATAAAAAGCAGAGAGTTTGTTTTTTTTCAAATGTACACTCTGAAATGTTGCATTTCAATCCCATCATCAATAATTCTTTGTTGCTTTTAGAAATAAAAATAGCAAGATTCATTCTGGTTTGTTGTAGTGGTTTAACCCCAACTGGCAGCCAAGTACCAATGAATGGAGCTATGAACAGTTTAGTTAAAGCGAAATAAAATATTATAATGATGCTAATGATAATAATAATTGTAGTGGACAATTATCTGCAGACAGAGAGAGAAAGGGAGAGAGAGAGAGAGAGAGAGAGAGAGAACTAAAACCCAGGAAAACCAAGTGATGCTCAGTCCAGTTGCTGACTGATTCCCAGCCTGTCTCTGCACAAGGATTCCCAGTTCTGGCCAAATCCCCCCAGTTTCTCTGCTGGGCACGACGTTCTGTGCTATGGAATATCCATTCCTTTGGCCAGTTTGGATCAGCTGTCCTGGCTGTTCTCCCACCCAGCTCCGTGTGCAGCTCCTGGCTGGCACAGCCTGGGAAACTGAGAACTCCTTGCTTAGGGTAAGTACTGCTCAGCAGCACCTAAGYCAGCAGTGGGTTATCARCATTATTGCCATACTGAATCCAAAGCACAGCACTGTACCAGCTWTGAAGAAGAAAATTAACTCTATCCCAGCCAAGCTTAGAGCATTTGTGTTTCATTTTCCATACCTTTTAACTTGCTGTGCTTCAGGAGCTGATGTTTCTGCAGTGCTGATTAGTCCAAGCATTTTATCTTTTGGATGGTGGAGGGATTTTGTATTTTGTTTTGTTCATAAGCCCATGCATATATATGTCTATTTTATATGATAAATAAAAATAATGAAATTTSTTTAAATATGTTTTGTCTTGTAGTAAATTCAAATATTTTGGAATAGGGCTAGGAGAGGAATTACTAATATTCCTGTTAYAGTGTTTATTTTTTGCCTGGAGTGGTTAGCAAGTAGCTTTATGAAAAAATATAAAGGGTTCCTTGGCTGTGTGAGCTCTTCAATGGTGAGAGCAAATGTAATGCTCCAACTTTGTGGATCCTTGTGCTAATCAGTCCTAGGCTATGGATTTTACTACTGGAATGTCAGAGTGACTTAAAGGTCAGGATGAAAACTGATACGTGTCAGGAGCTCAGGTGTTGCATGAWAATGTAGAGGTGAGAGAATGAATGTGCTTTGTGTTCACTTTGCTGGTTTGACATTCAGTGTGGGCTGTGTCTAACMGTGTCAGGACAGGTGTCCTGGCTTGGCTGCCTGCAGAGCTGGGGTTTGGATGGCTGTGAAATCCCACATGTCCCAGTGAATCCCATAGCTGGCTTATCCCTCTGTAGTGTCTAGGGCCAGTGGATGTGACCACCATCTGTCCTGAGYCAGGGACTAGCACCTGTCACTCCTGTGGCTTTGGCAGCCCTCTCATGGCTTTGGGGAGCCAGAGAAGGCAGTTGSCCCTGGAATAGTTTGATAACTTGTCACATATCAATTTCTTCCAGCATTTCTTTGTCTTCAAGTTACATCATGTTTTCATGTAACTGAAAGCTGATAGACTGCCTCTTCTGGGTTTTCACTGTCTCTGCAACAAGTAGTCTTAAAAATAGAAATAAGACCACTGTAATGAAAAGCGATTTTCAGGCATTTGAACCTTGGCTGAACCTTGACTGATCCACCATTTCTATTTGATGAATGATCCAAGTGAGCTATCATTTCTGCTGTGTTGAACACATTTGCCTGTTGTGTGACCTTGGTTCTAAATAACTGTGGTCATGGTTTCATTCSTTCCTTACCTTTGCCTACTTAAATACACTGTTTGGAATTGTTATCAGGATAAAATATTTAATAGATGTGTTTCATTGATATGTGACAAACACTCTACTTAAAAATCCATCTGTTTTACAAAATAAATATTGTTACTGTATCATGATGATGCATTGTTAAGATGCCTTTCAATTTGTTTGTGTCTTAACAGTTCAGTGTTACCAGATTAGGACGCTGGATTGATTTTGAAAATGACTATAAAACTCTTTACCCTGAGTTCATGGAGTCTGTGTGGTAAGTGARCATGCATTGCTTTATGAATTTGAAATGTGAAAAAGACTTCAGTCATTGTAGACATGTGTTGGTCCATATATCACTAACACTGTTCTGAAACTTGCCAAATGCAGATAAAACATCAGTCAGAGTAAATAAAGTAACAGAAAAAATGGTCCTATTTTTTCCTTCTTCAGGATAGCAGGGCTTTACAAAATAAAGTGCACCAATGCTGCCTTTAGTGAGCCCTGAAATCTTACTGCTTTATGTCAACTTAAAAGCAATTCTGAAGATATATTAATATGTTCCTTGGTTGGTTTAGGAAATTACATTATAACTCTATCTTGATGTTCTTCACACTGTCAGCTGTAAATGGGCAAACTGTCCAAGCTCAGTTTAGCTCCAAACCTCTTCTTCAAGCCTGAATTTAGAGGCTGTGAATCTGCTGTTATCTTTTTCTTGGCACYGCAGTTTGACAACCGTCTTGGACTCCTGGTGCAGAGCTAAGTTTGGGTRTTTTGGCAATGTATTCAGGGTGTGTTGGGATTTCAAAAGACAAGACAACCTTACAGGTTAAGGATAATCACACTGGCCTAACATAGTGAAGAAGTGGCAACTTCTTCATCTTTTTGGTGGTAGAATTATGAGATTAATTGTAGGGAGAGGTTTAGCAGTGTATATGCTGTTAAAAATCAATTGAAAAGCAGATTAGGTGCATATTAAAATATTACTGAATGCCCTGTAATGTTGTTTTTACTAACAAGCTTTGGTTGCATAGGTAATWWCACATAATTATGACAATGGAATGAYAGATCTTTTCCATGTCCTTGAAGCCACTGTAGAAGGTTGAAGTGCCAGTGAGATTTCWGTGAGCATTGGAAAGATGGTGGGAAGGCAGCAGATGTTTAACWAACTCAGCTGAAGAAACCCTGCATAATTACAAAGCCCAAACTGACAAGAGACCTTCATTTYGTAAATTACAAAAATGCTTAGTGGCATCTCAAATCCTGTTTAACTGGCAGTTTAAAAACCAAACCTGACTGGAGCTAGCTGCAGGGTCTCTCTCAGCAGACTTTTTTTGGTGGTTTGTTTGCCCCACTACCTCTTTAAAAGGCATTTTCTGGTGTTTCAGCTGTCTTACCGAGATTATCTCCTCTAATGCTTGCTTTGATACAAACTCAGATACAAACTTTGCATCTGAAAACTCAGAATTCAGGAAGTATGTAGGCAGACAGCCTCTTAATTTTGTAATGTTTCTGCTTCCTGAYCCTGTTAAATCATGTAATGAAATACATTTTCTGTTTTTAAAAAATGGGTTTTTTTTTTTGGAAACTCTCCTAAGACTTTATGATGCTATTGCCAGCTCATTTTCCAGTAGAGCAGAATGGAACCACCCGTGTTTGCAAAGCGTGGATGGAGGGGGGGAATGGGAAAGGAATGTGGGATCCCTGTCTCTGGGCTGAGGGAGAAAATGCTTAAAGAAAGCCCTGCCCCTGCAGTTAGAGTGGTGCTTTTGACAGGGTAATGAACAATTTCCTGAAAAGAAAATAAATTGGATGGTTATCCAGGCAATCATCAGACCCCAAAAATGTTTCTTTTCATGTCAATTAGGAGTGTTAATTTGAGCTATAGGTTCTAGCATGCTTCTCTCAAAAATGATTTATTTTTTACCAGCTCCTTTTGAAATTCTTTAAAAAAGTKTTAAAATTTAGTGTCCAGCTATGCACAAAAGAGAAACTGCAGATTAATTTCTGCATTGACTGCCTTGGAGACCAGACTGGCCTGTCCAGTGGTTTTATTTTGTTGTTGTTCTGTCTGTGGGAGTACAATGCTGGTTTTAGGCCCAGAAAAAAAACCTGATGATGAAAATGGTAGTGGGCATGGCAACTGTAGATTTTGTGGTTCAAATATGGTAAGGAGTTTGTCTTTAGTCTTACAATCAGCTAAACCAATCTGTTTGGATAACTTTTTTTCTGGTCTGTAGCTCTTCCTGAGGGTGCAGCTCTGGAGTGGYCTCAGCTGGAATTTCTTTGTCACATGCGATGTTTTGTTCCGTGTTTCTGTTGAGTTCAGTGAGATAATCTAATACTCATGATAAATAYTGTTTTCAGTGGTGGCTGATTTTATCCAAATAATTTGGATTTGAAATAATGCAGGACTCAGACATTACAAATATAACTTTTATACAAYATCTATAACACAATATTAATAAGCTCTGAATGCTAGAGAGCATTACTTTTTCATCTTTTATAATTGTTCTGGTGGAAATGACTACTTTGTTGGCATTTTGTTGCCATGTCATATGATGACTGACTAAACTGAATTTTTATCCTGCTAAATTTTGACTTAAAACAAAACACTCATTGGTACAATTGTGCCATCCTGGCAGAATTTTTCAGGGAAGGATTGAAAGTTGGTGTCAGTAAGAGGTGATACTACTSGTTTTGCATGTTAGCATAGTCATCTCTGCATGAATTAAATAACTTAAATAGAATTTTTAGGTTTTAATTCTGTAGGATTTGTGCTGCAGCCTGCTTGGATGCCAATGAGCAAATGCCCTTAACTGGGACATTGCAATGAGAATGGTGGTTTTGAGCTGGCAGGGCACAAACAGGGAATTAAAGTCATGAGATGCATCCAGCGAAACACAGAAGTTTGTTGGAAGCTTAAACTTCTCACCTAGGTGGTCTGAAAGAAACCTTTGGGAATGGSAATAACTAGGAAATGATTGTGTTCACTGCTGGCTTGTTCATAGGTGTGGGGCTGGTGTGAGTTTGCCCCTGGGGATCCCTTCTCCCTGGGCTCCGGGGAAGCAGCCTGTGGGTACCGGGGTCAGGGGTGGCTCYGCCGTTCCCGGGGTGGTGCCCGGGGCTCGGACCTTTCCTGCTCCTCTCAAGGGTTGGTTGAGCAGATTCCTGTCACCATCTAGTGCTCAAATGAGCAACTGCGGGCTGAGGCTGATGCGGTGTGACAGGCAGCCCTGAGCTCCSGTTGGTGMCAGAGCTCTGGGAGGAGGTGCCAGGGACTGCAGGGCTCACAGCCGSCCTGCCCTGAGACAGCGCCAGCACTTACTCAGCACTGAACCGGAATCATCTCAGAGCAACACATCTCTGATCCGCACAGAAACCACTATTGCATTTTGTGTATTCTGTGACTAATGATTCTCTAGGGAGATACTGGTCATAAGAAATCTGTTCTGTTTTTCTGAGAGCTACCTATATTTTTTCCTGATTCTTGTMTTTCTTTTGTGCATTAAGTTCTGTAGTCCCCTTGCTACCTTCTCACCATTCCAGTCCTTGTTGTATGTCCTTACCTGTATTTTGAGGGAGGAATACACTGAACTCCCATGGATGGTCTTTGGGATAAGTGTAGCACCCATTTTAGATWTTCAAGTTTTCTTTACACAGGCATTTTGCATTTCTGGCTGGATCCAGAGTCTCTCAACAAACACACTGTTCCAAAARTTACATCTTGGTGGGTAGACCTCCAGTCAAATGATCTCTGTATGCCAGGATTTTAAAGTTTTCACTGGTAGTTGAACATAAAATTGGACAACTTCTGCACTCAACAATTCCTAGGCCTTGGAACAAATAAATACTGTTCTTCACTTTGTTAWGGAGGTGTCTTTCCCAGATGCTATTTTAAAGATAGGTTGTGTTTGTTATTGGAATTCATGTTCCACTTAAGTTTATACTTTTTTGACTCATGTCCAGTGTTTTCAGAGCACTTTTTTTCTGTTTCTTTTGTCCCTAGCATCTGGTTTTGATTGTTGTTTTCTTTTTGATTTCATCTTGTTTTTCAAGTGTTGTTTATGAGTTGCAGGAAAACCTTTTCCTCAGAAGCTCTGCTTGCCATGGTGCTGTTAGGATGCAGTGTTTGCTGAGCTGGTACATGACAGGGCTTCTTGCATAGCATGGTGCTTGTGCCTGGGTTTGTTTAGTAGGTCTAGAGGGGCTATAAAATTGTCATTTGATCTTGATAGAAACTGATGTGAGGTCACACAGCGATTATTTTGTCCATTTACCTGTAGTATGATGGATATGTTGAAATATGCATCTCTAGATCCTGCTGTCCTAATATTCTGCCCACAGAATGGCTTACAGTGCCTGGTGTTTTCTTTCTTTAAAGAGAAAAAAAGAGATAAAAATACTTTGTATGTGTTTGAAAATAAGTCTCAGTGTAGTTATGAGTTAGCTTTCTGGAAAGGTTGGATTTCTCAAACYCTGAGAAAACCCTTAGATACTCATCATTGCAAACAGAACCCCTTGATGTCCCAAAGGAATGGCATTAAGAATTCAGGAAGCTCCAGGATCAGATCCTTCTCTTTGATGTGAACTGGATGTACATGTTTGAGAAGTGCAATTTGCTTTGGTTGGATTTTGTGTGGGATGCCAGAGTGTTTGGAGTGCTGCATTGACTGCTTCAGTATCTTTTGGAAGTAAAATCTCCCTCTGCAGGAATTTGATTATATCMTTGTGCTGTTTGTGTGCCGTGTAGATGAACAAATATTGCAGTGAGGTTCTGGTTTCTTGGGAATTCTGGAGAGAGCAGTGTTACTGACTGGGCTTGAACCAGCTGTGCCATCCCTCATGGCACTGCAGGAACAGCAAATAGTTACCACTTTGAAACTTAAACATTCCTGGCACCTTTGGGGACCAGATTCTCTCTTAACAGGAACCTGAAATATGCATCGTGAGTTCATCTCTTTCCAAATTGCATTTTTCTTCAGTAAAAGTCTGAGTGCTGCTCCCACTGATAGAAGTAAAGAGGATGCAACTAAATTTATTTACGTTTGAGGAGRAACATAGCAGAATTAGAGAAATAGGACTGATTTGTCACTTCTGTGAGYGAATGTTTTGTTTGTTGCTAGAAAGGAGCTCTGTGGTTTCTTTAGGTTGGGTTTGTTTTTTTCAGATAGTGCTGCAGTTTCAATTTTGCCTTACAAACCTGGGGTCCCTTTCTTACCAAGTGTCRGCATTTTTCAAACTTAAGGGTTAAACCATGGTTTGTGAGGTTTATTGTCTAACATTGTGATGACTTTTTAAGCAAACCACGATCTCCACCTGTGACTCTTACTGTTAGAACCAGGCTCATCTTTGGCAGGTGCTGTTTCAGGTGGGCACTACTGTAGGGAGCTCTTTGGGAATCATCTCCTCTGCACATCTGGTGATCACACACCAGCAGCTCTCTTGTTAAAGAAACCAATTAGGCATTTTTGAGATAACAAAAGAGCTTTTGTAGTGATAGTGAGGGGTATGGCATCAAACAACAGTCTTGACTCAATTATAATTGTATTTATTCTGTTGGAATGGCTGTGTGAGAGGACAGGTTGTGATAAATTACAGATGAATTGTGAGGAGCTCAGGAGAGGGATGTGGTCTGGAATCCCCTCCCTGCTCAGCAGTGCCCAGCTGGAGCCCTGGCTTTGCAGTGGGGTGGGATTGCCACAGGAGGGAGATGCTGGCCTGGATTGGGAGCTTGGCAGCTCCGTGGAATGCTCACCTTTCCTCAGCAGCTCCCTGAGTTTACAGTTATATTTACAGCTGAATTAAATATTCAGTGTTTCTCTGAGTAGTTTTTGTGTGCTGTTAGTAGGCAGTGCTCTATAGAAAGTAAAGTGGAGCTTTTTTCTATAGGTATTTTAGTTACTGTTTTTGAAAGGCAAATAGAACACCTTCAGTATGAATGCTGTCACTTGTCACAGGCTGCATTAATTATGCTCTGAGGGGGTAAGCATACATTTGAAGTTATTTTAACACCCTCAAAAACTTGTRCAGTTAGCCAGCTCAAATTTATATGCTGAAAGCTGGTGAAACTATATTCAGGGATCATTTTTATAAAAGACTGATCTAGATTTATACAAGTCTAAGCTCATAAACTTAAAATCTGTTATAAAATAGAAAYGCTCCCTGCTATGTTTCAGGTTTGGGTTGGGGGTCAGGCAGTCACATCTTCCCTGTGGGTGACATTTCYTACCTGAAAAAGGTTTCTTTGGAGTTGTGTGTAAGGTGAGGCACCTTTATAAGAATGCACAGCTCTGAGAGACTTCTGAGTTTGGCTCTTCTGTGGCAGAAATGAATTCTGCTGAGGGTCTCTCAGTCCTTTTCCATCCCAGACTTCAGATAATGAGATTTTTCTGACGTTAGTAACCACTCATAGGAGAGTTTCTGACTTTTACTGGAGGCCGATGGATGAATCTGGATGGACTGCACCTCTTTTCCCTGTCACATTCTGTATTTTCTCCAGCTGCCTAATCTGTAGTGTAATAATGATTCTGATTAAGTTACCGTAGGACTTCCATGTCAGCAAGCMAGGGCATATCTTTTGATTTTCTTATTTTGGGCTACAGATAAAATCAGTGCATTAGTCTGCTTGTGTTTTGTGTTGAAGATGATAATTCCAAGCATAGAAGACAGGACACTGACTGAAATGCAGGTCCAGATTCTCAGGCACAAAATGACAGCCTGCAGAAAAAAGTGCTGCTTGCCAGGATGGGGCTGGTTGCTTAGCAATGAACTATTTATCTGCAGAGGGACCCAGAAAAGGGATCAGGATGGTTTGAAACGTAGTTTGAATAAAGGAGCTTTTAAAGTCAGCAGAGTTTWACAGTTTTTATGTGAAATTTGAAATGACGAGGCTTTGCAGCAGCTCTGATTTGTGAGTTGAAGTTGGCAGGATTATTTAAGGCTTGCCCTCTCCTGCCTTGCAGCCTGCAGGCTGTGCCACTGAGTGTGCRAGTCAGTGAGACATGAGAAGCTGATAAATGTTGATGATCCTTTAGGAAACCCTGGAGTATTCAGGGTTTGTCCATCACAGGGACACTTTGAGTTGCTGGGTGAAGTGTTTCTCTTCCATCTTCCATTCATCTTGAGCATTGATTCAATTTGTCATTTGTAATAGTAACTGCTGTCTTGATTATTTCACAAAAACATAGGGATCCAACTGCCACAGGCTGTATTGATGATTTCCTAAGCAGAGTTAAAGCTTTGTGTGAGACTGATCTTGGAGAGGATGAGTTCAAAGGAGAACATTAAACTGMGTTCATTATTTTTCATGGTTAAGTGTGCTCTCCTGTGAAAAATGCACTTATATTATCAGGATTTACTCGGTGGGTTGCAGGTGGCTCTGACCTGTATCTGTCTCTTTTGTAACACTGGCTGCTGCAGTAGAAACTCAMGATCCCTTGAGAAGTGAGCAGCCATGTCACTACTTGTCTGTTCTCCAAATTATGGCTGATTTCAGCCCTGTTAATAGTTCAGATTTCAGGTGATATTTGTGTCCAAGAAATCTGAGAAAGTGTTTAGGATGGAATACAAATCCATATTGTTCATTAATCTATGTGCTATGCAGCCAGTGCATGGAGTACCAAGCTACCAGAACCAGCTAAAGCTAAAAACTTACCAGAAATACAGTTGCAATCAATTATCTCCTTTCTTTTTAACTTGCAAATACTGTCTTTAGTTGATAATGGCTTATTAAAAAAAAAAAGTGTCATTCCGAAAGAAACTCCAGCTAGAGCAGAAACTCCATTTTGCAGTTTATTTACTAAATTTGAAACACCAAGTTATTCCTTGTTCCTTGTGTACTTCCAGGTGGGTTTTCAAGCAGCTCTATGACAAAGGACTGGTCTATAGAGGGGTTAAGGTCATGCCTTTCTCAACTGCATGCAACACCCCACTGTCCAACTTTGAGTCCCATCAGAACTACAAGGTAAGTCACAATCAGATTTTTCTGTTCTCTTCTGTTTGGATATTAAAAACTTTAGTACTTTTTGCTTGGTGGTACCCAAGTATGTCATTAYGCTCCAAGTTGGGAGTAAAAATCTRGGGAAATGGGCTGATTTTGATCATATTTTGCTCTACTTTTTTGGATCACTTGATCTTAGACTTCTTCTATTACAGATGTTGAAAGTACACTGTTTCATTGTGGTAAATGACTCCCTCTCTGGGCTCTCAAGGTGATATTGCAATGGGGCATTTTTCTGCTGAGTTTTTAGAGGAGAGCTGCAGCTGTCCCTCTCTGTGCACATCTGAAAAGTAAAGGATCTTTGATAGGGTTTGCATCTTCTGTGAGGGTTTCATAAGGAGTGTCAAAGACTGTAGCAGTAGGGTAATGGCTCTTCCAAGAATCATTAATTTGGTTTGGGAAACACCAGAAAATGTTTCACCTAATATAATACGTGGTTTACTATGATTTATAAAACGTTCCTTTAAAATGAATGCAAAGATAAAGCAAATGCAGCTTCTCACTTGCAACAAGCTCCTGTTCACATAAGTGAAGGCAGAACTTGTGTCCCAATTTTCTAAATTTCATGTTARTTTGTGGATAGAGGTTTTGTATCCTTTCCAATCCTGACCCAGGCCTTCAGATCCTTATATTGTAAATCTTTCACTTGCATTGTTATAACAGAGAGCTAGCACAGATTGTACATCTGCTCTCTACATCTTGCCTAAAAAAGGCCAGTTTTCTGGCCAAAAATAGTGTTTTTTAAACAAATGTTTAAATAGACTTGTACTACAATGCAGCCCACAGATACCAGAGCTCTCAGTATTCCTGAGGGGTATTTACACTGAAGAAAAAAGGGTTTGAGATTTTTGAAAGAGAGACTTGCAAAGATATCATGATATCTGTGACTRACAACTGAAATAATTACTTTTCTTGTCCTTATTAACTGACATTTCACACAGGCTTAGATTARTGAGCTTTCTTCAGAACAAAGACTATTTTGGAGGGGTTTTTTGTGTGTGTGTGTGTGTGTGTATGTGATCATTTTCCATAAAGCCAAAGCTCTTTTCTTGAAASTTAATGAAATATTTAGATGCTGTTTCTTACTCTAGAACCAGAGGTGTGTGTGGGTGGGTTGCTGCTCTGCCACTCCATGCAAAAATTATCTTCCTTATCTGCTAGAAGTGCTGTTGGGGACTGAAATGCTGTGGGTCTGTGAGCTGACAGGATTTATTCTTGGTGAGCACAGTCATTTCTGGCTGTGAGGCAGCTGTTGTTGCCTTTCCCACTGTGGGAGGCAGTCTTTGGCTGCAGTTTATTGATCCTCTGAGAATTGGGACCCAGATCAGGAGCAATGGGACRCAAGAAGCGTGTCCAGAACATTCCGAACCAGAGTTAGGTGTCTAATGCACACTTGAGTTAACAATGCCAGCCTCTGGTGTTATGTTAAACTGAAGAAGTGGCAGTGACAGGTGAAACTGTAACAGCTAAAACACTCCACAGTGCCATTAGCTGTCAGCCTGGATGGTGTTTGTATGCTGTGCCAGTTGTTTTTATCTACCTGGGCAGCTCAGTGCTCCAGAAACAAAGTGAGTAGCCTGCAGTGCTGCCTTGCACTCGGYACACACAGAACCCATCTCTGCCTGGTATTGAGTGCAGGCCATGGGTTATGTAATATTTATGTTTTACTGTTGACTGCACCAGATGTTCACAGAAAATTCCCTCTGGAGCAGCCCTTAGCTCAGACATAAATAGCTGCATGTCCCACGATGCCATGAAGTGTTCCATGATGCTGGCTGGAAACCAGAGCTCCTCGCACGAGACGTGCCCAGGCCATGGGACTGATTTCTGTGCTCAGGGTCGGTGTGCACRGCACCCGTGGAGTTGGTGTTTAGAATTTAAGAGTGAAAATTTCACATTTGCGGGATCAGATTTGTTTTTACAATCAGCTTTTCATCATATCTGAAGTGACTGAATAAGGTTGTACTTGGCTGGAAGATAAACTTGTTTTCAGRGGATTTTTTGGACTCATTTGAAGGTGAAATTTTATATAGTAGCTGACAAAGATCTCCTTCCCTGAGATTTTTTTTTTAGTCTTAAATATTGACATACTGTTGTTTTTGAGTACCCCAAAAGTTTTTCACCCCTTGTTAACAACAGCTTCTTTATAAGAGATGATTTTATGTGATGGCTGTTCTTCCTTATCTCTGGCTGTAGAAAAAAATGTGGAAAAGGCTTTGTTTAGGAGTATCTGAGAAACTGTTGATTTTCCTGATCCTTGAGATTGATTCTAAACTTTGAAAATGGGGTTATGAGCGGTACCTAAGGGAGCTGACACTTGTCTCTCTTTGGTGTTTTGGCAGCAAATTCCCAAAATCTCCCCGCTAATGGGAGATTTTAACCCTGTGGCCTTGTTGAAATGACAAACTTCACTGGTGCAGTGAAGAACTCTGTGACTGGTGTCCTATTCTGACTTTATTGCTGCCATTTCATCTTTTATATTACAGATTACAGTGATGACCCAGGCTAGCTGAAACACAGCTTGGGTGCATGGCAGTGAGTTACTGTACTGCATCTCAGATTTCCATTTTCTCACTGACACAGGCAGTAAAGCCTTTTTGCCCCCCTCTCTTTTTACCCTTGGACTTTATCTTGTTTTTCAGGATGTTCAGGATCCTTCAGTGACTGTGAGCTTCCCACTGGAGGAAGATCCCAGTGTTTCTCTTGTTGCCTGGACCACGACTCCCTGGACCTTGCCCAGCAATCTGGCCCTTTGTGTTAATCCAGAATTGCAATATGTGAAACTGAGAGGCAAGTGTTAACTGCAGGGGACACAGAATGAACACCTCTTCCTTCAGTGCCTGTGAATAYGTACTTACATTTTGTATTGTAGACTGGTTTATGTTAAATTTACRGAACTTTCCTGGGGTTGAATCAGTAACAGTTTGAAGGATGGGATTCACTTTGGTTGTGACTGATGATTTCCAGCTGCTGTGCTCTTGTTATGTAATACAGATTGTGAGGGCTGTACCCTAAAAAATATTAATAGATGAAATAAAAAAAAAAAAAAAAGGTTGGGGGTGTTTGTAGTCTTTAACTATACCTTCGTCTACAAACACCCTCCCCCCCTTTAAAAAAAAACCCAGCAGAATAGCAAGTAGGAATTTCCAGTTCCAACATAACCACCTGAATCAAATGTGTGCTAAAATTATATTAAACATGAAGTTGTGCAGGCTTGCAGTGAACTCCATATGTTTGGGTTTTCTTTCTTTTAGGAGACCTAAATATGTTTCAGTTTTCAAAGGTTTTAACATAAATTTGGTCATCTCACAAAGAATTGCTGAATACTTTCAGAAATAACACCTGACTTGCCTGAAGTGCTGAGTTGGGTTTGGATGTCTTTGGTTCACTGCTGTGGGACACTGACCCTGACTGAGATGGCAGCAGCCGGAATAAACTTGTCACTGAAGTTAGAAAATCAAGATGGATTGGGTGGAAAATGAATTTTCTTAATAACATTTCACTTTTGTAAAAATTAACTTCCTTTGTTGGTATATACTTCTTCTGTAAAGAAATCTAAGCATGTAATTGATTCGAATTGCAAATTTCAGGAAGGCTGCACAAAGTGCAATCATTACCTGCAATGTTAACATAATAATACTGATTTTATGTAGTAATTGTCCATCTTCCAATTGTTTCCCTCTGTTTCAGTTGCATTTACTGACACTTCTCAATTGCTTTTTTATTTGGCTCAGCAATAATAGACAAGATAAAGTATTTCTGCCTTTGCAGTAACAAAATGAGTGAAAATCAATGAACTGGGTTTTATTCTGTGGCTTCTGTTTAAACTTTACCTTTGGAAAGTGTTCCTTAGCTGGCTGTGTGGGGAAGAAATAACTGGAAATTAGTAAAGGATTATTCTGGGCAATTTTATAGCCACAGTGATACCATCTTGCATATATTGAAAAGTTTCATAATGGTGCAAATGAGGGGATTAAACTGAGATTTGTGAAAGTCCTATTTTATTTGATATTCTAGATAAGGCCACAGGGAAGATTTACATTTTGATGGAGTCCAGGCTGGTGGCACTGTACAAATCTGACAGTGAATATCAGATACTTGACAGGCAAGTATAGAAATTACTACACTTGCTAACTTTCAGTGTTTTTCTGGATCAGAAGTTAACTGTTTTCAAGAAGATGGATTTCCCTGCAGGTGTGTTTATATTGCAAAAAAATCTGTAAAAGGAGTTGAAGTTTTGCTGGAACAAATTGGTATTGTATGTGAAGCTGCAAGTAGGARAAAAGTTTCCTTGGGTCCTTGTATTGAGAAGGGAAAACAGGTTCCATAGTCCACCCCTTTCCTGTGTGTTTACTTTAATGTAAAAGTTTCAGAAAAAGCTGGAGATGGTCCAAATGCTGAACTCTTTCTACACATTACATAAATATTTAAAGGGAAATGGGCAAAATAATCTCATTGTTCTGGTAAATAAATATTACTCCTGTAGTTAGTGGCAGTCAGTGCTTTCTGCAGGGTGCTTCTTCATCTTTGTTTGGTGGAAAAATAGGAATTATTTAATAGGTCAGACTGGGCAGGGGGTGCAGGTATTAAATTCTGTAGCTCTCTTAGACAAAATATGTGTCTTGACTTCTGTTAAACCTTTTGTATAAAACAGCAGCCTGTTAAAGAGGTCAAATTCAACAAATACTTACTTGCTCACTTTATTCAAAGAAACAAAAAAYCCCAATAAATCCCCAGATAACACAACTAAAATGAAAAAATAAGGACTAGAAACATTTTTGAGAATAACGCACCATCTTCACTGGCATCAGTTATTTCTATTTTTTTCTTTTTATCAAGCAGTTGAAAGCTTTAAATTGAAACAATGGAGGATATTTCAGCTAAGCAATCCCATGTAGTCATTAGAGAAACACAGAGTTGGAATGTTTAAGATGTTGCCTATTCTGATGGCTCATACAGTTAAATAATTGAATAATTGAATTGACAGTTGAATAATTATTATTTTATATTTCTGCATTGATYTCCCTCCTTCCCCCCTCCAACTGAATGCTCTTAATCTGTCACTTGGTCTGTTCCAATTGAAGCTGCTGTTCAGTTTCTGAAGATGATGTTCAGTGCTCTCATTCTTCAGGCTTGGCTGAACTTCCGATCTCTGTAGCTTTGTCCTCCCCTCTGAGTCATCAGTGAAGCCACTGAATAATGTCAGTGTTAGGATGGTTCTGCCAGGATGCCACTGGAAGTTTTCTTTTGGTCTGATAATGAGTTAACCCTWTTTCCTCTTGAAGTGGTTGTGTATCCGCAGTTCAAGTACTTGCGTATGTTGGAATTATGAAGTGTCAAAATTTTTATTGAGACCTAAATCTGGTCTGCTTCTTCCTATCTAAGCCACTTTAGTCTGCCCCAAAAAATTGCTTGGTGTGGCTTATTCTTGACAAATTCACATTGTATGTTCTTTAGAATTTCACTTACTAAAAACTCTCAATCACCTAAAGTTGAATTGAATTCACTGGGTTTTAGGTCTGTCAGTGCTTCAATTCTCTCATGAAATACAGATACCAAGTTCCATTTTGGTCTGTTGAAACCTGTTCAGAGTATCTTAAAACCAAGCCTTCTATCAAAACCACTTTGTTTTCTTAAGTATTTTTTAATACATTTGCTTTAGACTAAAGCAAAAAAGAAGCAAGCTAGCCCATATATTAAATTTGTTGATCTCTTGTCTTTTGCTTCCAAATGCTTCTTTTAATGCAATACTACAAATTTAACTTCAATGTGATTGCAGGATTCCTATATCCAGGAATGCACAGAACATTCTGGCCTTTTTTGTTGTGGTGCTTTCATCAGAAATGTGAAGAGCCTGGTCTTTAAGGCAGTCATACACATTTCCATGTTGTGTTTATGTCCCTGACTAATTGCATTTTTTACACCACCACTCACCTCCCAAATCTCTGATTATTTTTTAAAATTTTCTTTTTTTTACTTCTGCCCATCTATAAGGGTACTAACAAATCTCTTTGCAGAGCAGCATATTTTAATTCTTTCTGTGTTTGTGCTGCAGTCTCTTTTCAAGCTGGTTTTTTTCTGTTTTTGGTCATGCTCCAGTGTTTCTGTTACATAATAATTAATTTTCTCAAATGTGAAATGTGAGACAATTAAAAGGTAGCTGGTATTTGAATGGATCTTTGAAAGATTTAGATCTATGAGTATGTAAGTTCATGGAAATGAACTTTCCCACTTGGCTCCTAACTGTTTTTCCTTCTTTAGCTCACTTAAATTCTCAAGGAGTCAGGCCCTTGAGGGAGGAATGGATGCAACTTAATATATACGAGGCTGAGGCCAGGGAATGGTGATTGAGAATGTTCAGTGGCTGAGGTTGCCTTTTGTTTTATTTAGCCTGGTAGATAGGACATGATTGTCGAGCATTTTTCCCCTTGTGCTACATTTCAGTCCTTTTGCATATTAAACATTTAATTTCTTTACACAGTTTTCCCTAGTCATCTCTTTTTGGATTCTAAAGAATCCAAACCAGAGATTTCTGATCTCCTGAGAGTGAAGGACTGCTGAAATGGTTTTAAATGAGTCTTACTACTGTAACTTAGCTCACAAGAAGGCACCATTGTATAAATTTTCAGCTTGAAGTTCAGGACTSTGACAAAGTATTTCAGATCCCAAAATGAATGTGATCCACCACTTTTACCTTTCTCTGACTTGTATTAAATAAGAATGTAACAACTTTTCTTAAAACCAGATCTGGTGCTTCACATTCAGTATCTGAGATTTCCACATCTGTGTGGCTGAGCACTGGGATGCTTTTCTCTCATCTGATCCCGATTAAGCACCTCAAACATTCCTAAGGCTGTTTGTAATATAAAAATATATAAACCATCTGCAAAGCAGTGGCCTAAAATAGAAACCTCCCCTTTTCCTAGAGGATATTGTGTGTGCTGAGCTGAGGAGTCGTGCTCTTGAACTTGGCAATAAATACTGTTCGAGGTCCTTTCTGTGCAGCTTTGAAGAGTCCCCCACTTTGAAGGAGTCGAGTGTCTCATGGTTTGCCCATTGTTTGGAAGTTGTAGATCAAGAAGAGTACAGGGAGAGACCACAGCTGTGACACAGTCAGAGAGCCAGCCCATCTGTTAGATGAAGTTATGTTTTAGCTGGATTTTTCCCGTGAAATTGGATGATTTAAGCACTTTCAGGAGAGTTCTGAGCTGCAAATCCCGACCTAATCACTGTCTTTGTCAGCTGCTGTCAGAAGCCTGAAAGGAGCCAGACCTCAGGCTCCATCCTGCCTTACATCTCTTGTGTGGCTCAGCTGGTTCCTCAGTCAKTCAGTCTGTGCTGGATCATTCCCTGAGATGCCCATGGAGACTTTGGATGCCCAGTTTAGAATAAGGAAAGAAGCACCTGAGCTTTAAAGGCTGCAGTACCCTGTGGCACAGTCTTTGTACATAAAACTTCAGGTGTTTTGGATTGTTATTTAGTTCTGTTTGACATGCTGAGCTTCAGGGGTTTGTTGTTATTAATATTGTGTTTTATCCAGAAGATTCTTGCCCAGCTTTACCATAAAGAACTTTAAGTAATGCCTAATGCCTCAATTAATTTATATTAATTGTTTGATTGAAAGTCCATCAGGTACAAGTTGTTGACTGGTAGCAGAGGTACACTGAGACATTGTTTTATTTCCTAGTCCAAATTACCAGAGATGGGAAGCAAACATAAGTAAATACTTTTTTCCTTCACMTTATAAAATCAAATTCCATCAGGGATGGGGAAAAATTAAAAAAGGAAAAAGGGAATTTTCAAGTTAATTTGTAAATCTTGTCAATCTTTCTCCTCAGGTTTCCTGGCATTGCTCTTAAAGGCAAGAAATACAAACCACTCTTTGAATATTTTATTCAGGTAAGATGAAGTTCAGTGTTTCATACAGGATACCAAGGCAAAAATAAAACCCATTCTGAACATTCCTTGTTTATATTGTTTAAAAGGTCTCATGTCCTAATAGCAAAGGCCAGGTTGTATTTAAGTACCTTAAAATCTCAGTGAAAGTTTGTAARACGAAAATGTTGACTCTGATTGTTTCCCTTAAGTTTTCAATATACTGAGAGTAAAAATTGGGTGATAAATAGAAGTTTGAGTCCAGATTGCAGAAAAAAAATCAACACACATAATAGGCAGTATTCTCTCATGTTGTCACCTGGTGAGTGTTTGTTGTCTGCCTCCTGAGCCCAGAAGCTTTGTCTTCCCAAGGGARTGACTCTGACTTTGGATAACAGTCAGACATGCTGTGTTTTTCACTGAAGAGTTAAAACCCTTTGCTAAAAACCAATTGATACACCAGATTTATCTGGGTGTCCTGTGCAGCTTTTAAGCACTGCATTACGTCTGGCATCACAGATAAAAGAATCTGTAGCACTAGGAGAGAGGGGGAGAGAATTCATATATTAAAAATAAAATCTGATTAAAGATGGATTAAATTTTGAAAGAGAAGAAGTACAGCACTGCTGGCCAGGCAGCTGTGAACTYCTGTGAGTGATTTGGTCACTTGTGAAGCATGGGCAGCAAAGGTGGGAAAACCTCTGTGGGGAGCAGGGTCTGGTATTTCTAGATGAAACTCAAACACAGTTGAATCTGAAAAATTGGATTGTGGATCTGAGGTTTGGAATGGGTCAGTTTTGTGAGTCCTGCTGTACTTGTAAGGAGCAGATGGGCATCTACAATTTTTTATTTAGAATGGAGGTCTTATCTCAAAATATCTCCCTTCAGAACAAGCCAAATGTAATATTTTGTAACATATTTGGTTCAGCTGTGACTGCAGTAATTTTTGTTTACTATTTTTGTTTTAAGGAATAGAAATAACCCTTCATTTTTCATTATCCACATACTGAAGACACTGAAAATTGTCATATCTATTCCTGGCAATTTTTCCTGGATTTTCTCTTCTTTCTTTTCACTTGCTACTTATCATGCTGTTATTCTCTGGAGAAAATAAGGAAAATGTGTGACTATAAAAGCAAACTTTTAAAGAAAATAAGCATTTAGGGGACAAAAAGGGACATATAACAATGCAGGGAGAGTTGTGTACTTTCCTGATTGTATCCTCATGTTCAGGAGTGTATTGATTTGCAGTCTGTTAAGCAGAACTGTGTGAAGATCTGTGGCTTGAAGAGTAATTGACTTGGAGGCCTTCTGGAGAGGTGTGAGATTTAATCACACTTGACACTCTCTAARTGAAGTACACAGGTGTCTGGGCTATGGGAAGTCATTAAGTCATGTTAGGGATGTCACATTGTACTCTGGCACTTACTTTCCATGCAGTTCTTTCCTCTTTTGTGTGGCTGGTGGCTCTTCCAGGTTCTTTAGAATTCTGTTTTGCTCTGTGTGTGTAAATACATATTGTGTAAAACCYCATTTTTTGTGTTACAGTGCAAAGAAAAAGGTGCCTTTACCGTGCTGGTGGATGGTTATGTGAAGGAGGAAGAAGGCACAGGAGTTGTCCATCAGGCTCCCTATTTTGGTGCTGTAAGTGTGAACTGCACATCTGTCATGTTAATTTTGTTTGGCTTTCCAGCTCCTGGGGACTCTCTCAGGGTGACTGATGTTAAAATCTTCCTATTTACTGCTTAGAAATGCAAGATTGCCACATAGCTTTGTGTTTTGATGAGCTCTTCCACTCAGTGCCTTTGGTGTTAGATTGGAGATCTTTTGTCCGTGGATTTGGTTTGTGTTGTGATGTGGGAGCTGAACTTACCTGTTTTCTTTGGGTGCCATTGATCTCAGCTTTTCTCAGTCTGAAGTTAGAGCTTTGAGAAGGGCTGATCTGTGGCACTGGCAGTGGAAGCTGGCTTTGCTTAGTGATCATTTTGGTTGGGAACAACAGCTCTGCTCAGCACACTGCCCTTCTTCAGCGTTTCAATTTTGTTACTCCCTGGGCTTTTAGAGAATGAGAAAAYGCTTCCACTGCTTTTGTCCTGAGACTTTATCCCTTGCTGTGAAAGGATTTTGTTGCACTGCATTCTTTTTTTTCTGTCTTTATTGTCCTTTCTCTCAGTCCGTTCTTTTTTAAGGTTAACAGGAATAATTTGTCATGGATTTAATCATTTCAGTTTTTAGACACTTGAATTAAATGCGCTAGCTTAGGCTCATTGTCCTTTTTGTAGAGTGTCCTGTCTTCAGCCATTATCCAAAGATGCCCTCAAAAAACTTGCAGTGCCTAGCAATTAGCAATCCCTGGACCACGAGCTCTGTCATAATTTCCAGAAACTTGGCATTAGCAACAGGCCTCTTTGTATTCATGTGAAATAGCCCATCCTCTTCCGTCCTTTTCTCCCTGCATTTTTCTGAAGGGTACATCCATTGTGGCGGTGTTTCCCTTGTCAGGATGAACGTTGATATGAAAAGATGTTCTGGCCTAATATAGCCCTGAATAAAGAAAATTAGAGTGGGCTGTGTTAGCAGTTCATAAAGAAAATGGTGGTGGCTGGTCAAGTGTCCTCAGGAACAGGAATCCTGTCACACTTCTGCTCCTCAGACTCTCCCCTGGAGCTGGATGTGCCAGAGGGTGAGAATTGGTTTAGAGTCAGGAGCTCTTGCTGTGGGAGATGAGGGAAGGAAGGGAAGAGGCTGCCAGTAGGGAAGGAGCTCTGGAAGCAGCTCTCCCTTGGCTCCCTTAGAGTGGTTTGTGTATTTGCACAGTACACTTAAGTTGTTGGAAACAGCTTGTTGGAAAGGTTAACTGGCCACTTAGAGCAAGGGTTATGTGCCCTCTTTTATTTGATTTTTTTAATAAGCCCACTGAGCTTTGTAAAAACAGAGGAAAAAATAGTTTTTTTTTCTTTCTCTCCTGGGAAATCAGCAATTGCTTGCAAAACATTTTTTTTAGAAAAAACTTGAGAGTATCAGTTAAATGCTTCACAAAGGAAAAAAGACATAAAACATTGTGCAAGGAAAAAGTACACAGACATCACAAACAAAACTTTGCACTTGTCAGCAAAGGAGAGGTTTGAGGAGATCGTGCTTGGTACAGGGGCCTGGGTCAATGGGCTCTGTTGCCTTCAGAAGGGAAGTGCACTGTGCACGTTGCACTTAAAGCTGCTGCCTTCTCTTTGGGGTTTGTGTGGTTCCATTTTGACAGCCCACAGATTATCTCTGTTCAGAAAAGCTCACAGAGGCCCTGGTTTAGGTTCAGGATTGCATCATTGTACAGTAGGCTTTGGGTAGGATGCTGTTGGTGTTACATGTTGGCCTTTAGACAGGCTTAGATGAAAGAAGGGAGAGTTCATGTTGCAGRCAGGATTGTCTTCCTGGTTAATTGGCTCCTCTGCACCTTCCTCTTGTGTTCAAGGTGAATAGAAAAGGGATAAATGGACCAGGAGGGTCAGAGGGGAAAGAAATAGAGCACAGCCCTTCACAGGAAGCCTCGTTTCTTGTCTCTGTTCCTTCCCATCAACATCAGTGACTCCCTTCAGTAAACACAGATGAAAAGTCAGGGGTTTATTTATTTATTTTTAAATCCTACTTACTGATATATGTTCTATATTGCTGATAGCTCAGAATGTGTCTTTCTCCAACAAAATTGAAAGTARAGATTCACCTTCATTTAGTTCCACAATATGTGGTTTCATTGTCTTGTGTGATGCATTTGCCAAATCCAAGGTGCCACACCATAACAGTGCACTCTATTATTTCAGTTCAAAAGACATCAAAATTAAAGCTCACAGAACAAGACAAACCTGTATTAAAAATGCTGTAAACTCATTGTACCTCCAGATTAACATGACACTAAAATTGAGCTGCTCAGGCATTTCATCATAGGTAGATGTACCTGCTGTTAACTTAAAAAGCTTTAGTAGCACTTGCATTTGCACACRAATTTTTAATTTGCAATAATTCTAGTGCCTGCTTGGGCTGCGACACACAAATTTCATAGTTCTGTTACAGATGCACTTCTTTTTCAGTATATTGCAAAAGTATCAGTTTTTGTTAAGAGGTGTTGAAGGTGAACCTTTGGCATCATGTTTCTGTTGTTTTGTTGAAATTTCAGATTAAAAAGCTTTTGATTTCTCATAAGTGAGCTGTTTAATAGTTTCTACTTATTAATTTTGTCTCTTACAACTTTATGTGTAATCTTTTGGGGTAGAAAAGTGAAGGCTCTAACTCTATCCTAAAAGGAGCCGATGCTTGTCTTAGCTTTTATTTGAATTTAGCACTTGTGGATTCCTAGTATGTGCCTGAAGATATTCTTGCCTTGTGGCTACTGAAGGAAATCTTCATTCAATGCAATGGCAGGTCTGTGTGGAGAGTTTCCATTCAAGCTCAGGCTGTTCAAAAGCAGGGGGCTGACTGCAGAAGGGTGAAGTAACAAAGCCTTTGTGTATCCTTGGCTGCAGCAGGGCTGCAAGTGCAGCTGAAGCACCTCTTGACCSAGGTGCTGCCAAGGGCAAGGTTTGTTGTGATTCTCAGCAGGCTGTGAGTGTGCCAGGCTTTGTAGTTTGTGCTGGCTGCTGCTTCAAAGCCTTGAACAGCTCAGTGCCACAACAGGGCTGACATCAGCTCTGTCAGCTTAAACCCCTCAGCCTGCTSCCAGTCCCTCAGCTGATAAAGGCCRGCAGACAAGGGCCTTATCTCAGTCATCTCCTGACTGARGGTGCCCAAGTGCAGGGTGAATAATGGCCTGGTGGCTTCCTGCAGCTGCTGGAGAGGGAAAGGGGCAGTGCTCTGCTGGAAGGCAGTGCTGCAGCTGGAGGGATTTGCTGTTTGTGTGTGCAAAGCTTTGTCYATGGAACAGCCACCTTCCCTGTCTCTGTGGGCGGGTTTCATCCTTGGAAAATACAACAGGCCTGGCTGGAGGGAGCTGGAGCCACAGTGAGGACAGGTGAGGGTACAGGCTGAGGACAGAAAGGCACTGACTCCTCCAGAGCTGGCTCTGTGCTGCTTAGAGCCAGGGAGGGGCATTCAGGAGCTGTGGAATGCTGCCCTGTGCCGTGTGTGTTCACACTCTGCTCTGCAGCCGTGTCCCTGCTCAGGGGAGAGCCTCTGGAGGTGCAGCTCCTGTGAGACAGCTGCTGTGTGTCCTGGAAGCAATTCTGAACTGGATGAAATACAGATTTACTGTGACTTCAGACTTGAAGTTAAAATCTGTACTTTTCTATTCTCTGACTAATTTTGTTTTAATCTTGTCTCCGATGCCATTATTGTTCAGTCATGTTCAGGAAAGTCTGAAGCAACTCTCTTTTTTTCTTCCTYTTTTTTTCTTCKTACTGCTACAGGAAATTAAAAATTTAAGTGGAAGCTGGCCAGGAAAAAAAACTATGATGTTGTCCATGTGTGGTTCTTGGTCAGTAGCATTGCCTATGGGCCAAAAAAGATTGAGAAATACAGGTTTCAATAAAGACTTTGGATTGTTAAGACATTCAGAAAATGGGATTTTTTCTGTGAAATTCCAGAATTAGATTGATTAAAACAGCCTGCCTTCTGAAAAATGCCATGTTGGCTGGAGAGCTGGGCAGATGCAGATTCTGGCTGGGGCAGGAGCAGGATGGAGTGGTTGGCAGCTCCTTTGTYATGAAATGGAACCTGAAGCTGTTCATTACATGTGAACATAAAATACATGTATGTATATGCATTTATGTACAYGGAAAAACATGCATATATCCCCTCTGCTAAGTGAGAGAAAACATATCTAGTCTGAAAAGGTAGTAATTTTTCTGATGAATAAAATAACAATCCTATAAACCTGCACTTTCTCATATGTATTTGGGATTAGTGAARGCTGAGTATTCTGCTGTTCTTGCCCAGTCATCACATTTTCTGTTTARTATTTAATTTCTGTTTCAAGGGATGGCTATTTTACCCAGTTTTTTRTATTCTTACAGCTTGGTGCTTGTCTCTTTTGCAGGATGATTAYAGAGTCTGCATGGATTTTAACATCATTCAGAAGGACTCTGTGCCTGTGTGTCCTGTTGATGCATCAGGCTGCTTCACAGCAGAAGTGGCTGACTTTGCTGGGCAGTATGTGAAGGTCAGTGGGCCTGGAGGCAGTAAATTACTGCTTAATTCAAGATAGATTTTATGCATGGTAGAAGCTTTCTTTTCTTTCCCTGAGTAGATTTGTCTTCAGTGTGTACCTGTTATCTGGATAAATGAAAATGTGCTTTAACATTTGCAGCAAGGTTGGAATTGTCTGTTACAACAGYTGAGAAATGAAGAAATTGAAATGCAGGTGATGCTGAGTATCTGTAGTGGAAGGGCAAAGGAGTATCTCCTGTTTGCAGCCACTGCAGACAGAGTCTCACCCTGTGCTTTTTCCTGACAGAAATGTCCTGTCCAGAGTCTCCAGGCACATGTGCAGGGCCTCCCTCACCTCTGGATGACTCTGAATTCCCACATGCCATCATTAAGGTTCTCCCAGCCAGTWAATGTAACATGACCCCCCCTAGGAGGGAGAAATCCTGTCATTTTCCCCATTTGTGGCCTGTGTTGCAATGGGAATTTACTTGACAGTAAATGTAAGTGAATCCCTGTAACAGGAACCCACAGGAACTCCAGATTGCCACAGATGCAAATCCCTGCTAGGGAGGGAGTGCCTCTTAAAATCCATGTCCTGAGAACAGAAATTGGKTTTAGCCCTGCTGCTGCAGTTTGATAGCAAAGCATGTTTCTGTAAACAAATGCAATACAAGATTTTTAAGTCTGTTTCAATTAAGTTGAGAATGCAATCTGCCATCTTTGCTTCCTGCTTCATATATATAAAGGCAAATAAGAGGGCACTGGAGGCTCCCATGCTGGTAGCAATCTGAATTTAAGGCTCTTKGAAAGTTTTCTTATGATGCTGAATTTTTCACTTAAATCTATTAATATTTTTTTTCCTTAATGTTGTACTGACACTTGTTTGTTCAGTAGATTGTCTTAAATTCTTAATATATAACTTCCACTTCCAGTTAAAATCCTGCTTAGGTAGTGAGGTATTATAAAATATCCTTCAAATTCTGAAATTTAGTTACTTTAGAGGAATGTGGTGTAGGGAAGTTTAAATATTAGGTAAAAAGCTCTATGACTTTCTGCCCCAAAATCAGAAGACTCAATGAAAGATTTAAAGTATTAAATAATGTGGATTCTGACTTGGATTGGTGCTTCAGAAAATTTGTCTTTTACACTCAGTTGTTTGTATGTGGAAAGAGGGTTAAGGRTAAAAAATGACTCCTGCTTTAATTTATACATTTTAATTTATCCAGATAGCAGAGACACATTGAGGACTAAGCAGGATTTGGAGAGCAAGTAACTTTCTAAATGCAGTGTTTTACAGTGATCCTGCAGGAAATATCTACATTTCATAGAAGTTTTTTGTATGTGTGTAAATGCTGGATTATTCATAGAAGTTTTTTTTTTTTTAAATTAATTAGAGTATCTGAGACTAGTCCTCTAGTAGCTTACTGAGTGAACAGTGTATTCCAAGGGAAATGTGCTGTGTTTTTAGGATGCAGATAAGCACATCATCAGATGGCTGAAGGAGAAGGGCCGGCTGATTCACAGCACCACCTTCCAGCACAGCTACCCCTTCTGCTGGAGGTAAGGCCACACCTGCACTGCCTGTGAGCTGAGCTTTCTAACAGACATCTTCTTCAGGTTTCTTCCCTTTTTTCTCCCCTCCCGTGCTTAATTTTTGTGACAAGACTAAAAGTAACACAAATGGAGATGATGGATTTAGGACAGTTTCGGTTTAGTCATCAAGTAATTTCCTTTTTTTTTTTTTTTGCCATAAATCTGATGAATTTAAGTGTAGTACTGAAATTTTATTTTCTATTTATGGTTTTACAGGTAGTTTTGTAGTTGGTGTCGCTCATTTTTTGGTGTAGAACTCGTAACTACTCTTGTAAAAAGTCTGAAAAAGGTTTTTTTCTAAGCAGCTGAATGGTGGGAAAGGATTTTTTTGATAGCCTTTGAATTGTATCCAAATAGCTATATCACAGAAGGTCTTTAGATGTTTGTGTTGAAGCTTTCCATGTTTTGGATAAAATGGCTAATCTACAGGTTTTTTTAACCTTGTAAAATTACTTATTTCTTTGAAATAAGCCCAGTTGCTTAAAATGTGGAAACATCCCTATGTGGAGGTCCCTGTGGGAAGTCTCCATGTAGAATTCTCCATGGGCTTTCAGTATCAATGAAAGAAAAAGTTTTGATTATGAGGAACACAGGCTAGACAGATTTAATCTAGAAATAAAGGTGGATTTTAGTAGTGTCCTCCCTGGTTTGAAATTTCCAGTTATTATTGCAAAAAACCACAGAAAAATGTCAAATTAAAAAAAAAGAATCTTCAGTAATCTTTTAGTTAAATTTTTATGATGAGCAAAGATACACTTAAAATAAAATATTTAATTTCATTATCTGAAATGGTTTGAAGATATTAGGTCCTATCTGATGTATCCAGCACCTGCACTGAAATAACTGTGATAAAAGCTCATCCCTCTGTCTGGCTCTGACTCTGCCAGGTGAAGTGTTCTAGCAGGGTACATTTATCTTTAATTTATAGCAAAAATAACCTTTGCTTGCTCTTGAACAGCAGGATTGGTTTGTTTCTAGCAGCTGCCTAGAGGAAGAAGGGGAATTGCTCTTCAGGTGTTACATCCTTGATGATTTGGGACACTTTTGAAAAATGGCAGCCCCAAAATCAAGCAACGCTTGTGCTTTTCTTGTGTAGCACCTCAAATATCCAGTCATGGCCTTCTGAGACAAAGCAGGGATGTAGAAGTGCTGATTCTGGAGAAGATCCTTAATCCTGCCACTCTGTTGACATTTTTGTTGATTGATGATAAGTTGCAGGCAGCACCTAGCAGCAAATTATCTGGTGGGAAGAACCGAACAATGGATTCTACTTGAAAAKCTCATTTCACTGCCATCACAAATCAAACCATAATTGGAATATGCTAAAAGTAGAAGAGTAGTTCTTAACTTTGAACRTAGTTATAAGTTATTTTGATTAATGTAAGAAAACTTTGAAATCAGACTCTTCATGTAGTACTGCATTTTTGTGAAACCAGGCAGCTGTTGAATCCTTGGGATGTTGAGAAATTTGCCTTCGTTTTTTTACATATACTGGAATTAGGGTCCTTCTTTCTGTCAGCTAAACTTTAAAATATTAGCAAGAAAAACACAACAGCTTGGTAAGGGATCTGTATATAGTTTTCAGGTAGTTTTCAGTTAGAATTTGTCTTTATTGGGATTGCTGAAAATGGAGGACATTGGTTAAAATTGCTCTATGCACATGGGAGATCTAAAAGGTCTGTGTGGTCTGGGCATTTGCTTCTTCTGATGTGTTTCTAAAGGGTCTGTCTGCAAGGAGAGCAAAACTTTCTTCAGTTGAGACAAGGGGGAATGGTTAGGCAGGAACTTTGTAAACATCAAATTTTGGTTTATGTCTGTCTGGGTGGTTTTCCCTTGTATTGATGGAAAACAAAACCCAGCAATTGCTATTTCTCATTTGATTCTACAGTCAAATGCAGTTGAATCTGGGTCCCTCAGCCTTCTCAYTGGTCATGAGGGGCAGAAATGTGTGAGGTGTCACTGCTTGGGCAGATTTTAGKGTTTTGTTCTCTGCAGTCTGCTGCTGAGGCACTGCATGGCAGTACAGCCAGAAGAAAAATATTCAGGGAAACTCCCCTTTCTTGCTGCCTTCATGCAGGTGGAGCAGAGCCCTGTGGGTGCTTGGAGTGGTTATCAGGTATTACAACCTCAGGTCAGGCTGAAAGCCTGGGGAATGGTTCTTCTGTCATCACAGCCCCTTCCTGTCTGAAGCCACTCAGTGTCCCCAGGCTGCAGCCAGCCCTACCTGTCAGCTGCTCTCCTCAGGGAGCTGGGGTCCCACTTCATTGTCCCAACCATTTTTTTCTAATCTGTTAAGACCATGTGAGAAATTTTTAATATYAATTTTTATTCTACTTGTTTCCAYTTACTCAAGATCTTGTGATGGCAATTCATCATTCTTTAGCACATCTGAAACAAGATACTCAGTGAAATCAAAACACCTTCTAGCTCAGGGAATGCTTTCTTTTTTTTACTGTGATCTTGCTGCTGTGTGAGGAGTGAACTGAACTGTTCCCTTTTTTAGTTGTTAGGACTTAAATTTGAGTACCAAACCATCAGTAGGTTTGCATTTAATAGCTAGGACACAACATTATGATTACTTTGAGCTGTCACCATTTCTTTTAAGTCTATGGGTACTTGAACACTTAAGCACATTGAAACRTACAGGGTATAGTTAAAATGAAATATCCTTTGAAATCCAGCATTAAAAGAAGCAATGTGTTTTTTATTATTKGGCTTTGTGCACTGTGAGTTCAGGTGTTCAGGTCTGTGGGTTTTCTTTCTTTTGTGGGTCAGGCAGGTGCACCTTTAGCAAGKGCTGGCACAGTAGCAATTTTAATTTACATCATAATCTGCAGTAGTTTGTGGATTTCAAATGTGTCCTTGCTGTGGACATAAGTAAAATGAATTAAACTTTGGCTGTTTGTAGCAATGGCTGCACATGGGAGATAAGAGCAGCTTCTCAGGCTCTTTGCTGGTGARTTTTTATGTGTTGCCAAGTTCTGAGCCAAAGTGACTTAAACAAAAGCAATATTTTCAAGAAACATTTTGTGGGGTGGATTGATGCTAAAGGAGAATGAGCTTCTTGTCCCAGTGGTGTTGCTGCTCCTCTGTACCCATCCGACAGATCCTATCCCCTAGGGCTCTTCTCCCTCATCAAGTTGGAATAATGGGATGGATGTGAAGGATTGGAAATTCCTGAACTCTCCTACAGTGACTCATGCCCACTGTTGGATCCCAGGATCCTTTAGAAGGATGTCAGCARCCTGAACAGTCAGTCAAGCCCTTATCAGTTACCATGGAACTGAKAAATCAGACACTGGGTTGGGATACTGCAGTCAGATGCTTGGAGGGACTGATTTTACTGAGTAAATTAGGGAATTGCTCATTCTGTGTGCTCTGACCAACAGTGTTTCCATTTCTAAGCAACCCCAAGTTCTGAAAGTGCTCTCCTCCCATATAGAGTTTCCTTTATTGCTTATTGAAGTAAGGAATATGTTAAGATGTATTTAAAACTTCTTTATATTCCTATCTGGATCTCTTGCTTTCCTTCTGGAATGGAACTTTCTTGCAGTTAACCCTGGGTGCTGTTACTTCTTTATGATGTGTGATTATTATTTTAAATGCAAATAGTAGAAACACAGCAGAATGTTTCCTGGCTTTTCAGGTCTACATGCATATAAAAAAAMGATGCAGAATGAGCTCATGTGGAAGACTGAAATATGACTCATTTTAATAGTTACTGAATTTCATAATGTTGTACGATGTAGGAGCACAAATTTCAAATTCAAGTGTCGTTTGAACATTCTCATGATTGCTCTTGCTATACAAGTTCCTTGAATTACTGACTTTGARGGCTGTAAAATCTTTTTTCAAGACTTGATTTCAAAACAGTAGCTCACATAAATGTAGCAGTTTGTGTAATTTAACAAACCAAACAAACCCYAACCTTTAACTGTGATAACATTTCAGCAGCAGTGAACTCAGTCTGTGCAAAGGGTACTGKCATGTGCAGAAATAAATATTAAAGAGCACTTTATAAATAATGTAGCACTTAAAAMTGTTTTTGTTTGTTTTATTCTCTTCGTGTGCAGGTCAGATACTCCGCTGATCTACAAAGCTGTGCCCAGCTGGTTTGTCAGGGTGGAGCACATGGTGGAGAAGCTGCTGGAGAATAACGCCCAGTGCTACTGGTAATGTCCCCTGCAGAGATCTTTTATTCCTTTTCTTGGAGCTGGGAGTGTGGGGGCTGTGTGTGCTGGAGCTCTCCAAAGCTGTTCCACTGTTCCTGTGCTCACTCTGCTTCATATTCCCATTCTGTCTTTGAGTTAATGCCACTGGAGCAGGGCTGGGAYCACTTCTGGACAGTGTTTTATCTCAGTTTTATCAAGGCTGAATATTTCCTAGTAATTTACAGTGAAATACACTACAGGATCCTTAAAAGTGTCCTCCAGTCATATTATACAAACCTAAACAATTCAGCATTAGAGAAACTGCAGAGCAGAATCACCCTGCAGAAACAGGGAAGTGCTTCCCAAAAGGCTCCACTTGAGAGAACAATTAATGCTGCATATATATTGCTCCAAATAGAACTAATTTTTAGGCAAGTTGTGGGTTTTTTCATCTTGTTGTTTCAGATAAGGTTGATTATTTCATCACAGGTGCATTTGAAGAAAAATCCACACCCACTTCCCCCCCAACACCCACAAAAAGCTCAACCCAGCTGCCTTAGCTTGTGTAATTGTTGTAGGTAAACTCARTTTCACAGGTTTAAGTAAAAAATTTCTACTAATGGTAAAAATTAAATCTTTATATATATAGTGAATGTGAAAAACACTTGTTTGAAATTCGTGTAGAAAACAGCAGGTGAGTTGTGGATGATTTAATTGCATTATTAAGTGCAGTAGAAGGGAACTACTGATGCTGGTGRCATTTAGGGAGTCAGTCCTGGTTTTATGGTGTGTCAGTAACAAAAGGATCTTATCATCTGCACCTTCATAAGCTCTATTTTTATTTCYCTTCCTTTCATCAATCATTTGTGCCTGGGAGGCTGAGACCTCCCAGTGAGTGGGGAAAACTTGGAGTTTCCAACCTCATTCAGYCTTTCCATGTGAGGACTGTAGGGAGAGCTGGGGTCCCACCCCTCTTTCACCACAGTTGCCTCTTGTCAGCAGCTCAGATGAYATTAAAGAAGGTGACTCAACCTTCAGACAGCAATTACAGCTTGTGCTGCCTTTTTTCTTGGACAGTAGCTGGCAATTAATTTCTCCATGAGCAGCTTTTGCATAACTGCTGACATGGTAGAAGCACTGGAAATACTGGGATGTGTGGGAAAAGGCAGTGATCCGGAATGGAGGCTGCCCAGAAATGCTGCAGCCTGGCTTTGCCCGTCAGCACGTGCCCAGTCTGGCTGTGTCAGGGGACTTCAGAGATTACTAAGTGTTGCTTTCTGTTTTCCATAGCAGAACATACTGTGATCCTTCTTTGGGGGAAAAATAAGCTGGAGAGGGGGTGAAAGTGTTTGTTCTTAGCTTTAATTAGCTTTTCTCAAGATGCTTTCACTGTTGGGATGACAGTAGACCTGCATACTTAATTTTCACATGAACAGAAGAAAAATGTAAGGATCCTATTAAGGAAATGTTTGAATGGATGGGATGGTTTTGCTGTTCCAGAAGCAGAGCTTCAAGAAGAAGCTGCTAAGTGACCTCCATTCCTCCAGGAGACAGCAATTAGTAAGAATGACTGATCAGTTTGAACCCTGCCTCATGTAGYTGTGTTTTCAGTGGTGCTTTTTGGAAGTGCTGAGTAGTGGGGATACAAGAGGAAGTAAATTTTGGAGCTGCTGCAGCAAAGGTTGGGTGAGGAGAGCAGTGAGATGGCACTCAGGCAGTGCCATCACTGGAAAATAYTCAAAATGCTTGGAGTTAAAGGAACCATTTGTCCTTTAGGCAATTCCTGAGTTTAAACACAATTCCARAATTGAGCATAAAACTGATTCCTCAGGACTCCTCTCAAAACCCTGTGGTCTTAGGGATTGTGAGAAGCTTTTAGTTGGGAATATGGCTACAAGTAGAGATGTATTATCACAGAATTATTAATAAATAATATATGTATTTCCACTGTGTGATTTCATAGTAATTTGAATTCTGGGTAATCTTYGCTACTTTAAAGTTGGCAGTTAAAATCCAGCTTTTTGAAAGAGTTTTTGAGGTTTTCTTCCTGTGTTCTCCACTGATGCCAATTTGGTTTGGGCTGTAGCTTCTGAAGTCAGCATTGAGACTATTGGCCTTTTGCAGTATTCATTTATTTAAATTTTGGGAACTCCATCCTCCCCAAAACCTACTTTTTCTGCTTTTAAAGAGACTTGATCTCTGAAAGTGTCACAGGAATAATATGTAGCTTTTTAGAAAYTTATTTTTGGACTCTCTGGGGCTTCAGCATGTCCTGAAAATGAGAAAATTTGGGATAAATGCTTTTCAGATTATATTAACCTTTACAAAATGGGTTTGACTGCATTGCTTTTTTTATTCCTATAAATGACTGATAGGTATATTGTCCCTTAAGAATAGCTGCCCTCTTGATAGATACCATTTCTGATGAAATAGATTAAACATACTTGGACAAACTTTGCAACCTGATTGCATTTCTAATTAGTTTTTTTTTAGTGAATTACCCAACTTATAAGGCCACAGTCATTCAAAATTTACTAAAACCAGCAACTCTATTTTCATTTATCAAAATGAATTAACTATCACTTCCAATAATGGTTACATGAGTAATGTGCCAGCATTTTTGTAAAATCAGAAGGAAAAAAAAAAAAAAACCTCTCTTCTCTGTCCCAACCTTCTTCCTGTCAGACTGGGAAGTAACTTGTGTTGGATGTTGATGAAAATGCACAATTGGAACAGTGTTTAGGGGGTTGTGTTTCAGCCTTTATTTGAATTCCCTTATTGAATGTTCTCTACTGTATAACTGAGACTATTTAAAAGAAAATTTAAATGAGCACGGTTATCTTCATTTTGGCATTCAGGCACMCACTACTGCCACATTTGAGATGAAGAGAGGCAGATTTGGCTGCTGTAAAATCCAGGCCTGTCAGACCTTGGCTTTCTGTTCTCTTGATAAGGAGAGCTGGATGCAGCACCCAGGTGCTGTCTGGATTTCAGCTTTAATTGTTGTCACTATTATTTTATAGAATGGTTTGTTGAAAGAGCATTTTCTATGTACCCACGGACTAAACCAGGCCACCTTAGATTATAATTACAATGTGGGACTAATTCCTGTCATCAGTGTTCAAAGTTGGTATAAAMTGAAAATTTATAAGTTACTGTAACCAATAAATCAGTACAATTTATGATGAGATTTCCAAACTCTTATTTCTGGCAGTGGATGTAATATTCCTATGCTTGTAGACTGATAGAACAGACTCTGTAGTTTGTATTTAAATATCAGCTTTGAACTCTTTTTTCCTTGYTTTGAAACCTCACCTAAAGTTCTCCTTCAGGAACTCCTGAAACATTTACCTCTAACTGTTGCCAAGTTTCTAATGTTCAAGACATTGTGCAGTTCTGACAKTGTTTGCATCAGATGTGCAGCACTTGGTGGAGTGGAAAAATGAGCATCAGTGGAAGGAAAGCAGTGAAGTCGGGGACTTCAAAGAAGCCAAACGTTTTGTTCTGGCATCTTCTCACCATTGAAGAATTCAGGCATTGTAATAAAGAGCTTGATGTCTGGCTGAAGGTATTGTTTTCCTGACTTTCATCACTTAAGCTGTTAGTTCTTGCTGAAAATGCCACCCACAACACATTTGCTGTGAGGGAAGTTGCAAGGGTGAATTTTCCACGCAGCTCCTGTGTGARCCCAAGTGCCTTCTCCTGTGCCAGTGGAGCACATCAATCTTTGGAGAAGCTTTTCATCCTGGTCATTTTAATCTTTGACCACAAAACTGTCTCTCACCTGCTGAAAGGTGTGATATGATCAGCAATGATACCTGTTTGGGTCAGAAACCCTGAGACTGTGCAGAAACCATTTGCAATAGAAAGGCAAATGTTTCTTTTACTGAACTTGCCATTTTTGCACAGATAAGAAAGCTGAGTCTGTAACAGGGCAACAGAATTTGAAATCATAAGGAATTGCAGAGCACTAGGAGAAAATCAGTGAGGCCTTTTTTCCTTCTTTTGCTGTTAATTTGTTTAGAAAGTCTCATAGGACACTTCCTTTTTTTTGTTTATGTGAATACATTTCATCTGTACAGTTTTAAATGCATGGTGTGTGTGGATTTTTTCATTTATTGCTTTACTTTAGTATCACCATGCAGTTGTAACTCTTTTTTTTTTGAGTCATCAGTCACACTTACTGGGGAATCATGAATAGAAACGACATTCTCCCTGTAGCAGCAATGGTGATATGTACAGCAGTGTGGAGTCACTAGATGGCAACATTTCCTGAGGAAAAATCCAAATTAGTGACATTGCCTACAGCAGGAGGTAAAAAAAAAAAAAAATTGCTGCAGGGTTAGCCTTGTGTTTGTCTAATTTAGAAAAGGTTTTATTGCTGTCTGTTATCAGACATGGCTGAGGATTAGAAGTGAATTTTGAGGCTTGTTCACTGGATTTTGATGGCTTGTGTTCTGCTGTGCCTCAGTTTTGCTGTTTTGTCTCTGAGCCTCTTGTACAGAGATTGCTGATGATGCCATGAATGCATCAGGGACCTTTGCAGTCCCACTGAAGGGACACCAAACACTGTTTGCTTCAAGGAAAACCTTACAAAATAAACCCCCCAAGTGCCAGTTCACTAAGCACCTCCAGCATGGTTTTTTGGGGCAGCTGGTAAACCTGTGCCATGAGCAGTGTGATCCATGTCTGCCACTGTCACAGGAATGCAGATGTATTTACATACGTGGATGGAAATGGATCTGGAGTGCCGATGCCCTACAAAAGTTCTTCGTGACTGTCATCTTAGAATATTCCCAAGGAAACTGCAGAAAAAGGAAAAGTGGGAGCTTCACTTCTCCCTGGCTTGGGGCTGAGGGGATTGTTGATAAGATAAGGAATTTGAGCAGCAATTAGCAGGGTGCCTGGGTCTCTCTGTAGCAGGGAGATGGAGCAGGGCTTTCAGGGGGAGCGTGTGCCAGGATTGGAGGTCGGGGCTGCGCCGTGTCCGGGAGCAGCRGTGACGGGGATGCGTCTGCAGC